TGGCGTGTAATCGTCCACTATGAGTATACTAATATAAGTATAAATCTATTGTTACTGTGTGAGTATAAAATTTGACGTTTTTATGCTAAAACAACTGACAGTGTATATTTGGTATTTCTATAACTTTTCAAATCGGCATCGTTTTATATTATTTTTTTATCTTTCGTTTATTCCATTGCTTTATCATCTTTAAATTTCTAAAATAAAAGTCCCTTGAAATCGTAATATCTTTTAACATTGTTTATTTTCTGTTGGAAATTTTATTTGAGATTTTTTTGCAAATGTTTAGAAAAACGTACAATTTGACATTTTCGGTAAATGTATAAAACAATAATAACAATAAACATAATTAATGGAAATTAAAATAAAATTATCTACACACTGTTTGTTGAATGATCTTCACATTCTAATGGTTTGCATGGACTTGTTGAACTTTCGCGACTATAACCGGGCATGCAAATGCAAGTTGGTGGTCCAAAGCATCGTAAGGTAAAGCAATATTGAGCAGAGCCATCTGGATCAGAACAAGTATTCTTACAGAGTTTTTCGCCACATGGGTTGCAAACTTCATTTTCTCCACATTTCAGATCACACAGTTCGATTTGAAATTTTTCAGCTGAAAAAAATTGTCATAATGATTTTAAAAATGAAAATCAGACTAGATCCAATATAATTTGTGCAAATATCTTACCATCAGCAACTATGAATACAATCAGCACAATAGTAACAGCAAATCCAAATTTAACAATCATTTTGACAATAGAAGACAATATTCTGAGATAAAAAAAACTGTGTTACTTTGCAATTCAGTTTTGTCACAGTGAATAATCTCTTTTTCCAGTAAGCACTGCTTTATATATCTTTTAAGCTTTTCTTGGAAATCACACCGCAGTGTGTTAAAGTTAAAAAGCAGTAACTAATGTTATATTCTCGTGATTTCTAGCTCATAATATTTTTTTATATATTTATCGTGACATAAGATTATCAACATTTGAAATCAGCGATGTTGAAATAATAAATCGTGAAGAATTAGTCCATAATCATTTTAAAATTATGGAGAGTGTTCACGATCATTGAACATGCTTTTTTATAATTTTAATGAGTTAATTACTTTACTTGCCTGGAATTGAGTACATCTGTACCAATTATAATGTTTCTATAAAAAAATGTAATCTTATCAAGAGACTCTTAAGCTTCCAGTTAATAGAAGAGCACTAGGAAGAGCACGTGTATCACATTTGGTACAAATTAGATTTTCACAAATCACAACAAAATATGACTTTCAAATATTTCCCTCTTATATGAAAATATTTTGACAGGGAACCTTTCATGAAATTATAAAGATACCAAAAAATGATTATCCAAAAGGAGTTAAGGTGTTTTTGGACAATCATTCAATTCTGAGCTCTTCTGTGTTGGTGGCAAAACATTTCCAAACGGAGCAACTAAAATACCATTGGTTTGTGAGAATAATCATTGGAAAGTGAAAGATGAAACCATTAAGTGTCAAGTTTATTGTCAAATTGGAAAATGTGATATTTGATCGGTGAAAATTTTAACTTTTAACTTTTATGTGTTATATAGAATGTAGAAATTAAAACAGTGAACACAATCGATATCTGCTACTACGAAGTCGAAAAGGCTGGTAGCTGGGTATACGATAGGGCGGTGTTTCATTGTGAACGATATTGTACAAATTATCTGATAAATTCAGTCTGTGATCAGACGGTGAATAAAATAAATAAAATAAATAATTAAATGATCGTTTGTGAGTGCTTTCAAAACGAATTATGAAAATAAAGTAATCAGAAGTCAGAACAGTAAAAATGTTTTTTTTTGAAAATATAAACCTCGTTACACTATTCCACTTGATAAATTTATCTCAACTAAACCAATATAAGCACAATAAAAGGATGACTCTTCGTTTTATTGTTAAATAATCATTGGCCACTTTTGCTGTTTTGATTGTCAAAAAAACTTTCAGAAAAAACTCAAAGTGATTGGTTTTGACTTTGAGTTCATAAGGTGAAATTTTGTTTTCAGTATCAATTTAAAACGCATACTAAAATGTTGACCTTTGAAATTGATCGATAAAAATTCACATTCACAGCGGCATACCTCCAGACCTAGCTCCAGAGACACTTCGACTGCTGTCACATTTTTTCAATTGTTGACTAACACGTTCTTGTATTGAAACGCACACATTTTGACTTTTTACAAAATATCCGTAGCATTATAATTTAAATGAATTATTTTTGTTGGTGAGTTTGAGTGTTTTGCGCAAAGCCTCATGCACAATAGAAACGAATTCATTTTAATAGCATGCATACACATAAACGTACATCAGCAATATGACGATTACTGTATTGCTACACACTGTTCGTGTCAATTTTATTGTGAATAAAACGTTACTTTCTGTTCAGTTTGAGGTGGCGTCTCTACAGTGTCACATTTACGTTTTTCTACAAATAACATTTCCGCCCAAAAAATGTTGGGCAATATATCAAGTAGTTTCTTTGTGAATGTCGAACCAGTGCCAAACCGTGTATCGAATCTTTTCCAGGAATTCGGAGAGGATACAAATGCTTCAAAAGTGAATTTATTTATTGGAAGTAATAAACTGCGTTTTACGCTAAAAACTTGAAAAATTCTTACTTAATTTTAATTTAAAAAATTAGCATACCTATCAGAAGAAAATCAACCATACATTTTACCGGCAGTGCGAAGGGCAGAAGTTAAAATCTTCGAAAATATCACAACAGATCACGAATATTTATCACCGTGTGGTCAAAACAGCTATACAAAACCAGCAATTGAATTATTACTTGGAAAAGACTCAATTGCAATCAAAGAGCATCGAGTTCATGGCATTCAGTCGCTTTCAGGAACTGGAGCGTTACATATAGGCGCCGAATTTCTTCATGCTGTTCTCGGGCTAAAAACGGTGTACATTTCGAATCCAACATGGGGTCAGTAAAATATTCAATCTCATACTTTGTGCGTGGAGAAGTAACAAAAATTTCTCTTCCAACAGACAAACATGAAGGCATTTTTCGACGAGTTGGTTTCAAGGATATTCGATCGTATCGATATTGGAATTCAGAAACTCATTCTTATGATTTTAATGGAATGCTCGACGATTTAGAAAATGCTCCTGAGGGTGCTACAGTCGTATTGCATGCATGTGCGCATAATCCAACTGGCTGTGATCCAACGACTGATCAATGGACTCAAATTGCAAATACGATTGAAGTAAGTGCGAAAAACACATTCCAGGAAACTGTTTTTTTTAATCAATTTTATTTTTAGCGAAAAAGACTTTTCACATTTTTTGACTCGGCCTATCAAGGCATTGCCACTGGTGATTTGGACAACGATGCATATGCCGTTCGGTATTTCGTGTCTCGGGGTCTTGAGCTGTTTTGTGCTCAATCATTTTCGAAAATATTCGGCTTGTATGGTGAACGGGCTGGCAATCTAATCGTTGTACACAAAGAACCGTCTACAGTGAAAGCTGTCGCGGATCAAATAAGAAATATAATAATGGAAACATACTTAACTCCCCCTGAGCACGGTGCACGCATCGTTGAAACCATATTAAATGACAATGAGCTCTATGAAGAATGGAAACAAAATCTTAGAGTTATGGCACGTCGAATCAAAACGAGTCGTAAATCTCTTTACGATGAATTTATTCGATTAAAAACGCCAGGCAGCTGGGATTATATTATCGACCAAATTGGCATGTTTTCATACACCGGACTGAGTGGTACATCAAACTTATATTCGTTATATTTTTCATTTTTTTAATTAAAATTGTGCGTTTCTATTGCAGAAAATCAAGTTAGACACCTCAAAGGCAACTTTCACATTTACACAAGAGAAAAACGCATTGCAATGTGTGGCTTAAATCAAAGTAATGTAGCATACGTTGCGAAAGCTATTCATTCTGCAATTACATCAATTAGGAACTAGTTGAGTAAATACAGTGTAGTGCTATATTGAATCATACATCGAGAAACTTCCATTTTAACATCAAACTTGAACTACATATTCGTATCATTAATGCATGTTGATAACATGGATTGATTACTTTTTATGTGAAAGAATAAACGTTTATATTGAGTTGCAACAATGCTGTTATCATTTTTCCGCTTTAAATTGATATTATATTTATTTTTTTAATTGTATAAATGTACTGCAGTTTTGTAATTCGACGATCAGTTGACGTGGTTGAGTACTATAGCACAGAGTTTGAAATAATGATTAGTTTTTTCAATTCATTTATTTGAAAATCAATTACCATTAGTTAATGTAAATTGAAATTTTCAATTTATTTTTTTCAATTCATTAAATTGAATTTTCAACTACCATTTACATTCAAATTGAGAAATGAATTGAAATTCATTTCAATTGTGTGAAGTTGCAGAGATTCTAGTTGGCTCCCATATTACTACTCTCGATTGTTTTCAATTTTTTACCGTCAATTCATTTATTATAACATTTTGAATGTTAATTAAAATGTATATATATTTAAAATTTAATATTGATATAAAAATTAAAAAAATTAAAATTTGAAACTGTTTTCATTGCTGCGATTTCTTTTAAACTTATTGACACAGCAACCGTTATTGTTGAATGTGCGCATTCAAATATTAACCTCACTTTTAACATTAGCTATGCACAAATGCCGCATAAGGCATCAATCTCTGCAACTTCACGCAATTGAAATGAATTTCAATTCATTTCCCAATTTGAATGTAAATGGTAATTGAAAATTCAATTCAATGAATTGAAAAAAATAAATTGAAAATTTCAATTTACATTAACTAATGGTAATTATAATTGAATGAATTGGCATTGTAAAATTCGAAACACTGCTATAGCAACAGTTTCAGCAAGAGATCGAATGACCAGAAGTTAAAAATGTTTGTTCGAAAAGTTAAAATTTGTATAATTGATTCGCATATGGCGCGCCTATGGCCATCTAAAAGTGTGTTTAATATTTGGCTGTTGAATAATTGCAGTTTCAAAAGTTTTTTGAAAAAAATTAAACGTAAAGTTATAAAATACAATAAAAGAAATCCGTTTGCCGGAATGTTAAACATAATGAATCTCCAATACACAATAATTTACAGGGGTAATATCTTTCGATTTTTTAATGTGATACTAGTATGATTAAAGATTTGGTTTTTCTTCACATTTAGATGACTGTGTCGCCGATGAACGTATCAATATAATAAATAATTCGGCTGCATTTGGAGATTTTCAAAAGATGAATTATAATGAAATTCTCATTATAATAGATCCGGAAGCATGGGCTATGAAAATATTGGAAGAAAACAATGGTTTTATTCAAATTTCTTAAATTCTGTATATATTGAGCACACTATTAAAGTCAAATTTTGATCAAAAGAAATATCCATTCGTGTATTTGTCCTCCTTTTTTTGAAAATCTGAAATATTTTTTTAATTATTTGCACAATCGCAAATGTACAGCTACATACCTTTAACATTTCAACCGCAATCTCACTATCATATTTGCTATTGTGTAAAAAACATCGTCGCTTGCATATGTGCTGTAGAAATGTGTAGAAAAATAAAGAAATTTATTACGATTTTTAAAATTCCGGAACATTTTCTGAAATCACTTTTTCCCAAAAGAAAGATTTCCCGAAAATTCGAGAATTTTTCTAAACAAAGAAGAAGATCATCCGAATATCTTTAGCAATATAATGCATATTCATATTTATCATACGAGTTTACATGTTTTGCTTAAATGTCTTTCTAATAAATAGAAAATATAGTAGCAAAGTTAAGGGGGGTCAATCAGTCAATCAATAACACTAGCAAATCGAAAAAAAATTTCTCTCCAAAAACTTTACCATTAGCAAAACGAATTTTTTTTTTTTGGAAATCACTTTTTTGGCGAAAATCCCTCGGCCGAACATAGATCAAAAATTAATATAATTACTTTATTCGTGTAATAGTATGGTGCACGTAAATATGACCGATCTACCTAAACCTACATAATGCCGCGAAAAACAACCAAAAAACAATGTTCAATTGGTTATTTTTGCCTGTCAGCAGCCAGGAATTTGAAGGCAGACTGAGAATGGTTAAATGTAAAGAAATAATAGAATATTTTACGAAATCTGTTTACTTAGATAACATATATAATTTTAATAAAACTGAATAAATACGAAAGACCTATATATAGCATGCGTTCTGATTTCAAACAACGTTTCAACCTAGATAAGGAAATCCACAAACAAAAGAAAGCGATTAAAACGCGCGTGCACAGTGAAATAAAAATAGAGCGGAATAACGTTTATCGCTGATTTTCACTTGGACGATGTATATCGCGTTAAAGTATACATTATGTATTGCAAAAACGCCGACTTTATCTTGTGTTGGCTGTATTTATCGAAAATTGAATTTTAGCACAGTCTATAAAATCGAAGTCTTTTTTATAATTTTGTTGTCGTAAATATGTCCCATAATATTGAACTTGGAGATAAATTGCTGTTCGATATTTCTTCTGGAGTAATTTCCGTTTGTCAATTTTATAGTAGTTCATCGAAGGTTTGTACTATTTGTTTGTTCATAGTCAGTCGACCAGACTGACCAGAAAATCGGCGATTTTGAATTTCAAATATGACTGGCAATAGTTCCGTGTAAATGTATTTCTTCACGCCATTCAATCGAACCATTTGAATTAGTAACAGCCGTTATAAAATTTTGACACAATGCCTAAACAAATCAGTTCAATTTGAGATTGTGTCGCATCTTGATACTTAAATTTTGAAACATCATTGTTGTTGATTCAACACAATTCAAATAAACGATGCGATGGAAATTGTGTTCGAATTTCGTGCGTTAATGAATTTCCAATCGACATTGACATTGATTGTAATTAGATGGAATTTGTTCTTTTTCCTGCTCCATTTGGTTTTCACAATGTTTATTTTCAACAAAAGTTCAGTTCGTCGTCGTCACCACCATCTTACATATAAAACCCAGCCAAATAAGAACAAATGGACAATGAAACAGAAAAGAAAACATTCTCCGAATTATTCGAAAAGTTGTTGTTCGTTGTGCTATCGTACGAAATCATTTGTATCTATTAGAATGTACTGTTATCGGCATCCAGTGTGTCGACTCGCTACGCTATACGGAGTTTTTCATTGCGGGGGCAAAGTAAGCGAACAAAATGAAATTGAACCAAATATTAATATGAATGATATTGATATTAAAAAATCCATTCAGACTAATTTAAAAGTACTTTTTTTCATTCACCCTCTGTCATTGGTAGTTGTGGATGGTTTTGTGCTCGCACTCCTGCTGGCACACTTCAAGTGGTGGTGTATGGCAAAATCGTCGTTGTCGATGGGAAAATTCTTTTCAATTGTTTTGTTCCTTTTCAACGCATTTCGCGACTCTCGCTCTTTCCCCTTCTTTCTGCACGGAAATTTGTTCTTTTTTTTGTCAATTTTCAAGATTTTGCGGGTATTTTCATTTCTCGTTAAATTGTTCATTTCGACAAACCAAACTCTGCAAACACAGAGACGGACCAAACGATATAAATATCATCAGCAAAGAGTAATCGTAATAATAACAATAACATAGACTTTCCATATAAATTACGTACCACAAATTGTAAATGGAAATGATTTTTCTTTGACGCGCGCTGTGTTTGGTTGAGAGGGAGAAAGTCGGCGTAATTTTTTTCTTGTTGTTTTTTTTTCTGCTTCTCTTATGTTGTTGTTGGCTCACTTTCAGCCGCTTTGTTTGCGTATTTAATTTCATTTTATCTATTTTGTTCATTTATTTATACGTTTGTTTGCCGTTTATTCAGTCAGCGTGTGTCGAAGTGTGAGTGCAAATGTATGGTTTTCGTGTGTTGTGCATTTGTCGAGACGTTTGTGTGCGTCTTTCCGTCCGTTTTATTCTGTCAAATCGACGATGGTGTATTATTCAACTGGCGGGGTGAATCTTTTGAGTTTGGTGATTCGAAATGTGTGCGTATTCAAATTTGATGAATTCGGATTGTGTTTTGATCCTAGTCGTTTTGTTTTAATGGACCAAATTAATTCAGCGGGAGACATTGCAGATTACGGAGATTTTATGTAAAACAGGCACTGGGTTAAATTGCATGAAATTTTAAATCAGTGCAGTCGCGATGAAGAGAACAAGAAAGACGCTCACCAACTGTCAAATGGGCGACGACAGATTTTCGTCGCGTGCTCGCAACGCCAAGCGCTTTCAAAATATCTCATGAATCTTTGCATTTTGTAAAACGACTTGTGATGAGAAGCGACCGAAAAACAATTTGAATTTAATACAAAACCGTACATTATTACGATGATGGCTACGATGATTAGTGTGATTACCATTCAGTGTTTGTCATTGTGATGCGTTCATTTGCCCATTCTGTGAATGTCCTCGCAGTTATTTGTCGCACTCAAAATATCTCAAAATCATACACTGTACACTGTTTTTGATGGAAACTTTTCCTTGTTTTCTTTTGCACCGCCAGTGCAAACACCCGCCTTGTGCCATCCCTCTCAAGCAAATGGATATGTACTTTTTGGCATAAAATTGTAAATTACGACGATGACGATTGTTAAATCCACTTAAATGCGGTTGAAAGCTTCAATTCGCCAAATTTAATGGGACCGATTTAAATGTGGAACGGAAAAAGTTTGCGTCGGTTATGCTTATAACCAAATTTAGATTGCACAAAACAGATGTTGATTAAAATTGAAGCATTTTTCTTTCTTTCTCGTTCTCTTTGGGTTTTTTATATCTATCTACGCTTTGTAGCATCCAACTCATCACTTTGCTCAAGTGCCGAGGCGAAATATCTAAATAAATAATGACATCGCCATTTGCCAAGTACATTTAGTAGTCATTTGGATGAAAGGCAATCGAAATATCTAATTCGAAGCAAAATTGAAGTTTTAGTCAAGAAGAAGACAATCAACATTTAATTGGTGTTAGCGAAATGGTCGTTTAAAAACTAAACTATGGAAATGCTCATGGGAAATTTACGCCACTGATTTCTTGATTTTGAAACCATCACAGT